AATCAACAGCCAATCTAATGTGTCAGGGTCGAAGGTCATGGTAATCAACAGCCAATCTAATGTGTCGGGGTCAAAGGTCATGGTAATCAACAGCCACTCTAATGTGTCGGGGTCGAAGGTCATGGTAATCAACAGCCAATCTAATGTGTCGGGGTCGAAGGTCATGGTAATCAACAGCCAATCTTATGTGTCGGGGTCGAAGGTCATGGTAATCAACAGCCACTCTAATGTGTCAGGGGCGAAGGTCATGGAAATCAACAGCCAATCTAGTGTGTCAGGGTCGAAGGTCATGGTAATCAACAGCCAATCTAGTGTGTCTTGGTCGAAGGTCATGGTAATCAACAGCCAATCTAATGTGTCAGGGTCAAAGGTCATGGTAATCAACAGCCAATCTTATGTGTCATGGTCGAAGGTCATGGTAATCAACAGCCAATCTCATGTGTCAGGGTCAAAGGTCAGTCAAAAAACTAAAAAAACATCACATAACTCACAAAAATATGGCACATACCCAATAGTACCCCACATACCCCACCAATACCCCACACATCCCACTAATGTCCAACATTACCCCACATATCCCCACAAACACCAAGTTTTGAAAAATTCAAATTCCCACAACATTCCATGGACGTTCAAATACCAAAACTATACTAGTATACATTTATGATAGAAAAGTTAGTAGAATAAAAGGGATATTTTCAATGAAGATATAAAATAAAGTATCTTCACTAGGGCAATCAAAAGAAAATTAATTTTGACATCTAGATACAGAAGTGACTTGTGATTTTGATATCCAACCAGATCCCAACACAATTATTTTTTGACAGGTCGCGAGAATGTCCCGAAATTTCAAGAAACATACTCAACAATATGTTTGATTTGTTTTTCAATTGAATATCATAGATGTCACTAGTTTGTTAGTTTTCCTTCTATTTTCACCCCTGTTTCTCACCTGTGAAAGTCCAAACGACTGCTCTCCGTACTAATAAGATACAGGATATTCAACAGGAAACAATCCTCCTCACTTAAAGCTTGTTATACTGCCACTTAATGTCCATTGACATTTTTTCATTATAATGTGGTTATAGGCGATTAATTGACAAAGACGTATAAAGGAATCGTTACGAAAAAGTGAAAGAGGACCTTGAAATAAGAAGGTGGAAACAGTGTAACAGTGTTCAGTATATTGAGATTTTACAAAGACTTTTTCTCTGTTTAAGTTCGTTTTTTTCTTTACCAAAGCCACTAGTGATGTCTACTGATGGTCTTATATAACATGAACTAGCTCAGGATTGAGTATCATCTGTGTCAGTCTTCCATCGGCTCCCGATAACGTTAATCCAGAGAGCTTGCAAAAGTCAAACGACATAAAACCAGTCATCAAAATATCTGTATTACGATGTGAAACTGTGTGAGTAAGTACCTGGAGAGTTATATAAAGGGGAATTTACCTATCCGTAGTATATCTTGTCTGATCATTATAAAACATTATCATGTCAATTGGCGGAGCGATAGCCCATTCAAGTGGCCCATTCAAGTGTACGGCCATTACACTTTACTCTTGTAATGTGATTATCAAAATACATTAAACTTTTCACAGCTATATAAATTTGATTCTACCGTACTCAATTCAACCCCACCAGATTGGAAAAGTAAACTTGGTCTGAGTTGATATGATGTATTTATGCATGACACGAGAGGATTTTTTCACTACAAACCTTTTCGGAAAAACGTCCTGACAGTATTAGAGTTTTTGTGTGTGTTTTGTGTCCGTTAATTAATTAGACTGGTGTGAGGAAAAATAAAAAAAACGTATCAAACGCAACACCAAATTAGCAGAAGTAGATCTCACGCATCAAACTCGAGCTAAACCATCAACGATCAACATGAAACCAGTCAGGAACATACTGAGTGCAAGATTCATAGAATTGACCGTATTTCACCTGAGGTGAAAAAAGGCGGAATACACTTATCACTGTTCGTGTATAAATATTTCATGAAGGTGTAAGCAAGATAATAGTACATGCTACAAACATCAGTGAAAGCCAAGCTAATGCCAGCAAGCTTCAGCATCAGCTTTAAGGGTACTCCTGACACATGTTATTTTATCACCTCCACATAGAAGAGTTTCATGCTATTTCAAGCCCAAAGGGCCTTACATTTCCGTAGTTTATATTTGAGAGAAAGAAATATCTCCATGACAAATACTAATTTGTTTGTTTTTTGCAAATTTAAGAATAACTTCTCATGATGAGACTCCTTTGACTGATGACGAGTTTGCAAATGACTTGCTTGAAGTCTTCTCCGGCTGTTTTAACTCAAGTCTTATCTGTTTTATGGAACAAAAGGGGTCTTTGCATTACAATCTGGTGAGTATTGATACCCAGGGACGTACTGCTGCAAGCTATACACACGCTAAATCTACAATAATTACTGATTTACATATAAATGTACGAGGTAGTGGAATTATGCCTACAGCAATAAAACTACTTCTGTTATTGAAAGGTTACGGAGAGAACGATTGACAAAGAATGTCACTTGACGTTAATCGCCAAATCATGATACCTAGCATAGCAAAAACCATTAAATTCTCATATCCTGCAAAAAGGTATCCAACAGTACAAAATAGGTAATTACTGAAAAGCTTGTTTTATACACATTGTACAAGGTCACACTGGACCTCCAGACAAGGTATCAAGTTAAAACGTGTTAGATTGTTATAGGGTTAGAGTTGTTCTCTTCACAGTGGCTTTAATGTCATTGGGCGAGGTAGTTGATAGATGATGAGGCCAGCCGCCACACAAGTGTAAATTTAAAGTGTTCACTTAAAGGTTGTAATCTGTAAACAGTCGCATGTCAGTCTGTTCAGTCACATTATATCGACGACAAGGTTAACCATATAGATACCAAGGGAGACAACACCACATAGAAGGACAAGGTGAACCTTTTTCTTTGAAAAGTCTGTTCAGTATACCTTAAATGTCTGAATGGCATACTAAGGAAGTCTTAACGTTTTACCCAAAAGGTGTTTATATGGTGAACTCAAAATATCTTAAACCTGTACACAAGGAACCTGTATTGTGTACCCAAGAAATCTTAATGGTGAACCCAAGGAATCTTTATTGTGAACCCACGAAGTCTTTGTGGTGTACCCAGAAACTTTCTGTGGTGTTCTCCAGAATCTCTATGATGTTCCCAAAAGAACTCGAGAAGTCTCTGCCATATCTCCAAAAACGAATCAAAGAAGATATCTTTGAATCAAACCAGTGCACAATTGAGATGAAAATCTACAGATCTAAAATGGACAAATAAATAATTAAATCCGTGATTTCTTGGTTAAGATATTTCTTATTCTCTATCTAGGATTGTAACGTGCTGTATACGTTTTTGCGTTAGAATCGTGCAATAAGATGCGGGGTTGTACTTGAGATTAATAATTAACACACTTCATCGTAACTGCCATGTTAACGACTGACGTGGGATCGTAAGCGTGTTTGATGTTTGTGTTGTTACAGGTGATTATACCTGATCCTGATCAATGTTACTCTGGCTACGTTTCCCTATCTAGCTATACTGCCAAATCTTCATATATCACGCTTATATTTACCGTCATCATATATGTAACCAGTAAAAAGCTATGATTCCTTACCTACATGTAGCTTTACTACCAAATCCCTGATCTTTATATATCACGCTCATTTACCTTATTAATATATAAATGTACAGTAAAAATCTATGATCTTTTCTCTTAATTATTAAACTTGAAACACTAGTATACTATATACATGGACATTTTTGCTGCAGCTATACTTTTGCTATTTTCGCCCTCTGTTATGAGGGTGAATTTTCATGATGGCGAGTACTAGCTAGTACACAGCACGCGATATATAGCAAATTTACATGCAGGCTGGAATGAAGAAGGCAAGAATATGGATTTTACCTTTGAAAGGTAAATATTTGCCTGGCGAAAGTTTGCGGTACACACTTACATGTCCTAGGAATTCAAAATGACCAGATACTATGCACAATATTCAGTAGATATTTATAGATTTTCAAAAATATATATTTGGAAATTTCACCGTTACATTTCGTTGAGGTAAATGAACTTGGTACAACTAGGTTCTGCCTTACCTGTAGCTGTCATCAATATCATCACGAGAACCTTGAGTTTTATTTGGGTAGAGGACTGTTAATTATGGTAAAGCCAATTTTTTGTGTCTATGAATCGTGTGTGTAATTGAATCAGTGAATTTTAAGTCACCAATAAAAGCTAGTTGTTTCCACAAAGAAGTGAATGCTGAACTTGAGTTTTTTTTGGTCGATACGCAGAAGCTCGTGTTTTATAACCTTTACCTGTACTACGGTAAAGAAAACATCATGAAGTGCATGAAACAGAGGAAAAAGTAACACTGAAAAAATTATGCTACTTCCTTATTATGGCTTAGAGTGATTATTTAATTGTTTAAGGACAAGGATAAGTATGGTCCAGCAACTCTAAAAAATTTGATAACCACTCCTTATGTTCCATTATGCCGTCAAGGTCGTCAGTACATATCAGTCTTTTGTTTGCTCTTACAAGATACAAGAATTTTTATTTAGAGTCGTGTTTGTAACAATGCAACTTTAGCCCAGAAGAGCTATTCTTACGACTATATATAACAATCCTAATTAATAGAAACAACAAAATATCACAAAGGTAGCATGCATCACAGATAGTTGAATAAAAAGTAAAATAGCATGGTAAGTAAAAGTCATGCAAACATAAAGTTCATGCAGCATATAAATTAATTTAAGAGACGTTTCAGTCTAATGTACATATATGTCAATATGGCAAACACTAAAAATTGACAGAATACATGCTAATATAACATAATCTAAAACAACAATACAATTGTACCAGGATTCGAACCTGGGACCTCCAAACTATAGGCAGATGCTCTAACTGTGCTACCTGGTTGCCAGCTAAGTTTGGCTACACCTGTGTGCTATAAATACCTGTTTCCCAGCATCTACTCTGAGAGTTGAGACCAGTCCGTGTATACCAGCACGCCCTAAGTTTGGGGATGAGCTTGGTGTCTATAGTCCCTGTTTCCCAGCATCCACTCTGAGAGTTGAGACCAGTCTGTGTATACCAGCACGCCCTGAGTTTGGGGATGAGCTTGGTGTCTATAGTACCTGTTTCCCAGCATCCACTCTGAGAGTTGAGACCAGTCTGTGTATACCAGCACGCCCTGAGTTTGGGGATGAGGGGTGTTGTGAGGTATAGTGCTGAGGCTGACAAATGTTATACAGTGTCTAGGTACACCACAGTGTAGCTGGTACCTCTCTACAGACTCAAAGCCACATACACCATGTAAACATCCCGTCTATTGGTTTTCTTTTTAACTAATTAATGTCTGTCCATTCCATTTCAGACTCTACGACTAATTACAAGAGTGGAGATGTTGTAGAGCCCAGTTAAGGAGATACTTCCAGAAAATTGGAGAAAGTGTTACTCACTTTTACGTGAACTTCACAAAAAAGAGTGTATTTTGTGAACGTGGATGGTTGGAGACAGAGGCTGGGAAGTTTAGAAAGTGTGGGATTACTTCAAATATTCATGGATTAGTTTTGTTCCCTGTATATCAACATTGGACTCAACCTGCCTTTCCAGTAGGAACGTAGCATTGTGTTGTGTAGGGGTGGAAGGTAGTTAACTTTTTATCTTTATTTTAATTTGAAGACAGCGTGGAGTTACCAAACTTCCTTCAAACTCACAGAACAAAGATTCTTACCAGCGGTGATTCATCAATACTACAAAGTGCAATTTGCAGATTTTGTTAAAAAAAATTGTTTATAGCTATTTGCACTGAAGTAGTTTGCCATTGTTTGGAGTGTGTTACCTTGTGTGTACTGGCAATCACAAACTACTGGAACCAGCCAACAATTTTCCCCCGTGGATTATCAATGCTGTAAAGGACTTGATCATCAGTGTTCTAGGGGATGGTAGCTGTGTAACTTCAGCGCTTTCCTGGTGAGTAGTTTTTCATATGTTTATAAACGTAAGAAGGCTGACTTCGGAGCATGTAGAGTAGATGGAGTAAGATCTCCATGGCGATAAGGACAAGACGGAGGGGTACTACACATTTTTGTTTCTCAGAGCGGATTCTGGAGATCGTAAGCCCTGATAATGTCCATGACATGTACCATTTCATTAGGAACATCGTTTTTTATTTTGAAAACTGATTGATAGTGGTAACGGAACACTGATGTTGAGTTGTAGTACTTATATAGTTCCTCAATACCTGTGTAATTACCTGACAAAGTAAAATGTAAAGGGTAACTTACATGATGTAGTACTAATATAGTTCCTCAATACCTGTGTAATTACCTGACAAAGTACACTGTACACTTACATGATGTAGTACTAATATAGTTCCTCTATACCTGTGTAATTACCTGACAAAGTAAACTGTACAGGGCAACTCACATGATGTAGTACTTATATAGTTCCTCAATACCCGTGTAATTACCCGACAAAGTACACTGAACAGGGTAACTTACATGATGTAGTACTAATATAGTCCCTCAATACCTGTGTAATTACCTGACAAAGTAAACTGTACAGGGTAACTCACATGATGTAGAACTTATATAGATCCTCAATACCCGTGTAATTACCTGACAAAGTAAACTGTACAGGGTAACTTACATGATGTAATACTTATATAGATCCTCAATACCCGTGTAATTACCTGACAAAGTACATTGTACAGGGTAACTTACATGATGTAGTACCTATATAGTCCCTCAATACCTGTGTAATTACCTGACAAAGTACACTGTACAGGGTAACTTACATGATGTAGTACTTATATAGTCCCTCAATACCCGTGTAATTACCTGACAAAGTACATTGTACAGGGTAACTTACATGATGTAGTACTAATATAGTCCCTCAATACCTGTGTAATTACCGGACAAAGTACACTGTACAGGGTAACTTACATGATGTAGTACTTATAAAGTCCCTCAATACCTGTGTAATTACCTGACAAAGTACACTGTAAAGGGTAACTTACATGATGTAGTACTAATATAGTCCCTCAATACCTGTGTAATTACCTGACAAAGTACACTGTACACTTACATGATGTAGTGCTTATATAGTTCCTCAATACCCTTGTAATTACCTGACAAAGTACACTGTACAGGGGAACTTACATGATGTAGTACTTATAAAGTCCCTCAATCCCTGTGTAATTACCTGACAAAGTACACTGTAAAGGGTAACTCACATGATGTAGTACTTATATAGTTCCTCAATACCCTTGTAATTACCTGACAAAGTACACTGTACACTTAAATGATGTAGTACTTATATAGTCCCTCAATATCTGTGTAATTACCTGACAAAGTACACTGTACACTTAAATGATGTAGTACTTATATAGTCCCTCAATATCTGTGTAATTACCTGACAAAGTACACTGTACTGGGTAACTTAAATGATGTAGTACTTATATAGTTCCTCAATACCCTTGTAATTACCTGACAAAGTACACTGTACACTTAAATGATGTAGTACTTATATAGTCCCTCAATACCCGTGTAATTACCTGACAAAGTGCACTGTACAGGGTAACTTACATGATGTAGTACCTATATAGTCCCTCAATACCTGTGTAATTACCTGACAAAGTAAACTGTACAGGGTAACTTACATGATGTAATACTTATATAGATCCTCAATACCCGTGTAACTACCTGACAAAGTAAACTGTAAAGGGTAACTTACATGATGTAGTACTTATATAGTCCCTCAATATCAGTGTAATTACCTGACAAAGTACACTGTACACGCTAACTAACATGATGTAGTAGTTATATAGTTCCTCAATACCTGTGTAATTACCTGACAAAGTAAACTGTACAGGGTAACTCACATGATGTAGTACTTATATAGTCCCCCAATACCCGTGTAATTACCTGACAAAGTAAACTGTACAGGGTAACTTACATGATGTAGTACCTATATAGTCCCTCAATACCTGTGTAATTACCGGACAAAGTACACTGTACAGGGTAACTCACATGATGTAGTACTTATATAGTTCCTCAATACCCTTGTAATTACCTGACAAAGTACACTGTACAGGGGAACTTACATGATGTAGTACTTATAAAGTCCCTCAATACCTGTGCAATTACCTGACAAAGTACACTGTAAAGGGTAACTTACATGATGTAGTACTTATATAGTCCCTCAATATCAGTGTAATTACCTGACAAAGTACACTGTACAGGCCTGTGTAATTACCTGACAAAGTACACTGAACAGGGTAACTTACATGATGTAGTACTTATAAAGTCCCTCAATACCTGTGTAATTACCTGACTAAGTACACTGTACAGGGTAACTTACATGATGTAGTACCTATATAGTTCCTCAATGCCTGTGTAATTACCTGACAAAGTACACTGTACACTTACATTATGTAGTACTTATATAGTCCCTCAATACCTGTGTAATTACCTGACTAAGTACACTGTACAGGGTAACTTACATGATGTAGTTCTTATATAGTTCCTCAATACCCGTGTAATTACCTGACAAAGTGCACTGTACAGGGTAACTTACATGATGTAGTTCTTATATAGTTCCTCAATACTCATATAATTACCTATGCATTTTGATTGTGTACAAAGCTAACCATGGAAGTTATTTATTTGGCCTGAAGTTGAAAATTAATTATTATAAACAAAATTATAACATGTGGTCACATATTTTCCATTACAAAATCCTAATTACTCCAAAACAATTAGCCAAAAAGCTACTGAGAATAAAATTAATGTTTGGTTCAGCAAGATTTCCCCCAAAGTAATAATTAAGAAGACAACACTGATGCTAGGGTCGTCAATGTCAACAACATTAGACTCTTTAATTGTCAGGAGACATTTATTTGTATATTTAGGGTTTTGTTATGGCCGTTAGAAACTCATTTACCTGTTCGGGGGAGTAATTTTACTGTTCTATAATAAAAAAAAAAATGAAAAATGAAACCTCCTCAGATACAGAAATTAAAAACAAATTATTTGTACCCGTAGGTTTACGTTAGGTGTAGTCGTTATGGTGATTGAACAAATTACCCCCATATTCCTCATCGTAACCAACTATGCCTCACCCACGGCAGGTCTTCGCCTTGTCAACCGAACAATATGTGCTCAAATACATACTTAAAACACTCTAACCTCCGATATCAAAGATGAAAAAATATTAACATATACAGTTGAACCTTATGTGTGGTAAGATTGGATATGAGTAATCATAGGACGGATATCAGTTTAAAATAAGATTTAAATTGTTTCAGAATTATAGATAAATGGTTGAACTAACAAGGCCATGTTGTATTTGGTTATTTGATAAGACCCTAATGTTATATTTGAGGGTGGAGAGTTAATAGAAGAAATAAAAACAAACTTTATTACATTTTTTTTCATTCCATTTAGTAGAAAAATTGAGTCTACAGTCCTTTACTGAAGAGGGCAATGTCCATTTTCTCCTCCAAGTTTTAAATGAATCTTAAATCAAGGGAAAATGATGAGGTCATGTTACGAAGAACTTGTACAAGAAGTCCTTATGGTACCATCAGTTTTCTCCTACGTTTCCCAAGCCGTTATTGTGTCGGTGTGTCATATTATGACATAACAGGTAACAGTATTAAACATGGTGACTGGAATTCCTAGCAAAATAAATTTTAATTCATTCACCCCTGATTTTCATATTGAACTATTCCAACCATTGAATTGGAAGGGTTCAAATGTGTCTTCAGGGGTGAATGAGACATGGTGACTGGAATTCATGGCAAAATAAAAATCAGCGCTGTGAGTTCTCTTGTTTTTGTGGTCAAATTTTATTGACAGATTGAGTCTGTTGACTTGACAACTCTCCCTATTTTGGAGGGAGACTCATGATTTTTTACTCTAAACTTGAACATTTTCATCCACTGATTTTTCTAAGCTATCATGTTTTCATCTGAAGAAATTAACAGTTCAAAAGATGTCATTTTAAAGTATTTTTCCTAGGGGATATATAAGCACAGTTTAGTATGTTTTTTATTTTAAGCATGTAGAACCAACCCCCCCGATGTAAATTTTAAAAAGTTGACAAATATGTCTGTGATGAATAGAATCTCAAACTTGTTCCTATTTTAAACCTTGCTGCAGCTGATTTAAATGATATGTATTGGGAATAATGATGGAGATTCTGTATGTCAAAGTATATAGGAACAATATTCACATAAGGTACTTAATGTATGTGGAATAAAGCTACAACAGGAAGGTGTCTTATGATCTTGAAAATTATGGGTTTTTTTAATTTAAAAAAAAAAGACTGTTACGTACAACTAGCATGAACATTGGGGTATAAATGTATAATGTGACTTGCTACTGGCAACTTACTATGATTAAAGGGGATATTCTTGGCAGAACATTTGATCCACACAGCAATCAGAATCTATAATGAAACAAGGCTATGTTGCTGTCGTTACACATTAGCAGATTTACATATGGACTTTGTGTCTGACTAATTAAAAAGCCCTGTAATGTATTGCAAGGTCAAAATCATGTTTTCAAGGACGTCTTAGACTTTTTGTACAAATAATTAAATAGCCCTGTGATCTATCACAGAGGTCAAAATCATGTTTAAATGACGTCATAGACTTTTTGCATGACTTACTAATTAGCCCTGTGATCTATGACAGAGGTCAAAATCATGTTTACAAAGCCAACTTGATTGTAAAGTTATGTTCAGATGTCTTTATAAAAACTGAATTCTGACGAAATCTGTGATATTTTTAAGAAGGAAAGGTATTTAGAAAGAATAAGCATTTTCCGCTAGCAAAATATCACGCCTTAACAAATCTTTTAAGCCGGGGTGCAAGATGTATGCCACCTTACACATTATAATATACTGATGTGCCAGAGTTATCTCCCTTAGAGTTTTCACCTAGAACAAAATGCTTTATTTCATTA